ATATATTAATATTCTATATATTTAAATAAAATAAATTCGTAATTATAAGAAATATTTAGATTTTATATATTTCGGATTGTACGTACCTATGTATATCCCCTTTCCAGCAATTGCTTTTTTAAATACTACAGAAACTATAGAAAATCGCAAAAGGCTAATATTCTATAATTATTATATTATATCTTGACCTAAACTACGCTTTCAATGCCATTTCACTAAATTGCAATATACTTGGATGTTTGTATAACGAAAATGGAGCAAGCGAATGAATTGGAATAATTGAAATTTCATACAATACTGCATTGTGTGTGGGAAGCTTTTCAAAATGGGACAAGCTAATGTAATTTTACGCGTCAGTCAGTGTACTGAAAGTACGGAAGGTACCCAGATTTCTGGGCAGGTTTTTGTATATAAACTCTCTTTAACACATATATATAATTTATTTTTGATATTGGATACCTATACCATTCGAGCTGAAGGTATACATAACGTATACATACATATCTATAAAGTGACTCAGATGAAGCAAGCAAAATCCAGAAAAATCCAGAAACGAGTAAATGAGCTAAGCAACTACGGACGGTGATTTCCATCAGAAATATAAATACTTTATAGTTTATAATCAAAATGAATTCGTATCTCTGATTAACTCAAAATTCCTTAGATATGTAACATAATAATCGCGAGCACACTTTGACTTTGTAGATCTTCTGAAATAACTAAGCTTTCTCCATCAAATGTATAATCAGATTTAACTAGTTCAACCATATGCATACTCTATTTGGGGCTGCACTCATTAGCTACTGTTGACCTTATCGCTAACAGGGTTTTACGATCCACAAACGCAAGCTTTTGTCGAAAAGAAATACACTTTATTGCTTCGCTGGCGTAATAAATTAATAAAACGAAAATAACAGATTAAATGTAGTGCGGCCATATGACATATGACATACAAATGAATCTATAACAGAGCTTTTTCAAAAAGATTATTGTAAGTACGAACGGCTTGAAAATGTCTATGTATATTCGATTTGGCAGATATGAATATATAAATTTATTTTTGAGCATCATAATAAATCTTATAAACAAACGCATAAAGTTGTCTACTCTAATTAAATTAAATTTATTACCGCTTATTGCTCTGATGTAACCGCAACAAACAGAAATACGGACCTATCTCAAACTTAGTGATCAGCCGGCATAGAAACAGCGAAAGTGATAGCCGACTTCCATGTGGACAGACTCAAAGATACCACGCAATTGAAAATGATTGCTAAAGCCAAAGAGTAAGAGCAATGGGAAAAGAAATGACGATCAATTGGAAAGGGGTTGAGCTATTAACGTATTCCTTCTTTTTTCTTGAATCAGTACTTTTCTTTTAAGAGAGAAGCATTCGACCCGTTCTCAATAATTAGAGGGTATGCTAACTTATCAATAATTCACTAAATGATTTCGCCGCAGACGAACAGTCATCTTCTATAATATATAATGACAAGAACTATGAAACAGTTTGATAGCCCAAATGGGTTTCTTTAAAAATAATCATCATTATATCAGCTGAGCTTTACAATCCGATTTCCTAGCTATATAATCATCAAAAGTAATACTAAAACATTTTAAATGAATCACAATCGGGGCTTATTCATTGAAATAGAAATTCAGGTTACACCTATACCTAGGCCTAGAAACACTTGATGAGAATCAATGTATGGCTATCTATGCATCCGTGAATGAATATAACTGGAACCCTTAAGAGCTATAGCTTTCACATATATTGTTATCCTAGTTCCTTTTTAGGTGTAAATCATTAATAAACACTACATTTTCGATCTTTTGCGAATTTGTATTATTTAGATGCTTGCAACGTTCAGGCCAATCCCTATTCGGCACTATAGTGTTTTGAATTATTTGTATTTACAAGGTTTCCTCATAGGGTCGGACTAAAGTTTGACATTCGATGCACAGTAAAATCAGGGCGGGGTATACGCTTCAGGCTGACGGCTTATGCCAACTTACTTGAGACTTAGGGGCACGTCCACAATCGATTGCCATAAATAGTTAATACATGGCGTGGGAACGACGAGAGCCTATTTCTGACCTATAGAGGGTTTCGTGTGCTCTAATCTTTAGCCCTAATCTTATCAATGCCGTTGCTTCCGCACGAGTCTAACAGTCGAACAAGAAGTGTAGGGACTATAATGGTTACTGGAATGCCAATCTAGCTGCCCGTCCATCCCCCACATGAAGTTGACAGCTTTAAATCAGATATCTCGTTAATATATTATATATACTTTTTCTTAACTATTGTTTAGTAATAACTTTTTAATGTGTGAGCTATCGACGATTTGAGTTGGCTCTGCTATGGAAAGTATTTGTTGGGAGTTCGACGAGTATTTCGATTATTTCGATTATATCAATACAATTAAACAGAATGGACTTGATTATACCATTATATATACCATTGGAATCCTCCATTATCTCTAGCCTAAGCACTAGGTGCAAACAGTACACCATATGACGCTCCAACTGTAGTCTAGCTATATATATAGTATGTGCGTGTGAGTATGCGAGTATGAGCTCCTAAGTCATACTGCTCTGGTCAGCTCTGCTCTGCTCTCTGCTGATCTGCTCTGCGCTGCTGCACCCTACTCTCTGCTCGCTCCTACTATGCTATGCTCTCTAGTGCTCTGTTCTCTACAGCTTTGCTCTCTTACCTACTGCTCTGTGTTCTCTCTACTGCTTTGCTTATCCTAATCCTATTTGACATGTCCTGAGTAAGTAGGGATATATACGTTTTTTGGGTAATTCTTTAAGGGGCTCGTAAGTTAAGATCTTAACCTCAAAACTGTGGAATTTTGTACTTCAATGTTCAATCATTTATGTATATGCATATGTATGTATTTATTTACTTACATATACATATGTATATGTATGTAGAAGCTTTGTTATTAAAAACTTTCTTCATCCAATCAGCTACTAACTGTATCTCTCTCGATAAAGCAACTTGAGCTCAGAATATTTATACCTAAAGGAGTCTCTTGACGTAGCATATATGTATGTAGAACATAGGCTCAATATATATTGAATATACATACATTCTAAGTATTCTATTTTATGGGGGCGCTATCAAACTCATTTTCACTTTTTAACCTGAATTGATAAACATGTATTTACATATACATATGTATATGTATATGTATATGTAATAAATTAAAATGCAGATTCTGGACAAATTAAATTTTATAATTTTTAATTAAATTATTTTACACTTTTTAGCAAAGTATTTTGTTAATTACAATGTGTGTGTGAGTGTGTGTGGTTGCTGCTTTTGTTTTTGTTGTTTGTGTGATTAATGTTTACTTTTGTTACAGTTTAATCATGTTTAATATATTTATATTAAGTTGTAAAGTACAAAACATTAATCAATTT